GCCGGATCGGCGGTGGTTTCTTGTTCGAACTTAGCTTTGGCTTGGCTTTCCTTGCGCTCGGTAGGCGGCCTGGAGCCAACTGGGTCGCAGGGCCTCAACCATCTGCTGTACAGGTCGTGTTGCGTGTGCAGCAAGTTGCTTTCAACCTCACCAAGGTCTGTTGCTAGACCTGCGTCGCCGCACGCCACTCTACCTCAGCGATTGGACAGATGCCTTCATTTCGGGGAGACTCGGACCGTCATGTCACCGGCAGCCTGCACAGCTGTTGTTGCTGGGAGTGATCCAGGATTGCAGAGTTCTTTGGCCTTGAGTGAGTTTTGAGGAACCTCCAGAAGATAGTGACGACGATCGTGTATCTATTCGCAGCAGCACTAGCTCCAGCAGTCACGCCCCTCAGAGATGAACCGGTGGATGTGCGTCAATGGAGCATTGCATTCTTCCGGATGGAGTTCGTGTGGACATTGTGGCATGATCTGCTTGCTGAGCGCATTGTCAATCACGCCTTTTAAAGGAGACTACAGGTGGCTAGTTTAGGGTATATAGGGCTTCTATTTACAAGGTATATAAGACCTGTATGCTGCAGTATGCTCCTATAACGGTAACTACCCACCTGAAAATGTCCTAGACCCTTAGCGGGGCAAGCATATTCCACCTTAACTTGGCATTCGATCCGAGGTTTGGAAGCCAGTTTTATGATGGCACCCGTGGCCAGTTCGGTGTGCCTTGGAACGGTTAGAGCTATGCGCATGCGCTCGTTCAGGAATCCTCTATCTCAGATCTCTTAAGTACGCGACTTCGACTGAGTCAGAGTCGGCTCGATGTATTAAAACAGATTGTTTCAAATGGAATTGTTTTAACACAACCCTTCTCGGTGGTTGGCCGAATCGTTTCCTACAAGCCCTGGAAACATGTGAAAGGTGGCAGAGATGATCCTGTCCACGGCGCTTAGTGGAGTGATATGCTCCTTGTTGCTCGGCTCGCTGTACGTAGAAGAAGAGGTTCTGATGAACTGCATCAGCTCAAATCTTGCCACGCTGGCTGTGTATCCCGTGCTTAAGTTTTCGCGCTTGCCAAATAACTCTGAAGAAGCTTGGATTTCAGCGCCTGGTGCCAGTTGCAGGGCCCAAAGCCTAGACCCCTAATGGCTGTGCGTTTGTTTTCATGAGCTTCTTCACCTCATCCCATTGCGGAGGTTTGCCGGCCAGCCGCTGGCCATCGTAGGCCCAACGGGGCCCTTCCTGGCATACACGATGGTTTGTTATGACCTCGCCACGGCTGCAGCTCGGCTGGGCAGGTTGTGCCGCTTGGGTTACTGTTGTTTGCTTACTTCGTCTTCTGATGCCAGCCCTGCTGCATGCGGGTGCGACATGCGCAATCCAACACATTCCATCGTCGTTTTTGTAAATCCTGCACCCTGAAATGCAAGCTGCAGGTGGACCTGGAATTCCTTCCCTTCTATTTCTGGGTGTGCATGTGGTGTGCCGTGTTCACCATCCTTGTGGCTATCTTCGACCTCTGTGCACTTATGAAGTATGTCACCTTGTTCACAGAGGACCTGCAAAGCTTTGAAATTGGCGTCGAGAGCCTATCCCAACTCTGACTGTGTTTTTGTGGGCTTGCTGTTCTTCTCCACAAACCTAGGCCTGTGGTGGTTATTGGCCAGACCCTGCCCCTGATGATGAAGATGATGATGAATAATAGCTTTATTTTTAGCATCATTCTCTGTAATATGCTCGCCATCATCATCACCCAGCGAGCGGTTGAAGATAGTGGTAATGATGCCGAGGATGAAGACAGTGCTGAGGACGATGGCTTCTCCTGGCCACACCCATTATCATTGTCATTCTGGCGGTGCTGCCGATCATGACATTGATGACGATGACAACGGCAGATAGCGATGTGGTGATGGATGTTGACGACGATTATGATCGTGATGATGATGATGGTGGTGATGATGATGATGATGACGATGGCAATGGTGATAACAATAGTAATTATTATAGTAGTAATCGCACTGGTGGTAGTTGGTGCAAGCTAGTGCTGATGGCGGAAGATATAGTGTGGTGGCAGCTCAGAGTAGGCGACAGTAGATGCTACCACCGTGTCTGCAGAAGCAGGGCAGCTGGCTCTGTGCGGGAGCTTGTGTGTTTGCACTGCACTCAGCTTCTTCGACCTTGAAGGATGTGTTCGTGGGCCTCGTCAGCTTTGTTTACATAGTGGATGGGCTGCGGCCGATCATCCAGAATTTCACGGAGGACGGGTGAGAAGCCCTAGACCCTTAACCCCCAAACCCCTAAACCCATAAATAACCCTGAGCTTAACATGTAATATACTATAATATACTATAACATACTATAATATACCATAATATACCATAATATACCATAATATACTATAATATACTATAATATACTATAATATACTGTAATATACTATAATATACTATAATATACTATATTTTTAGTATGTTATATTACCTTCCTCGCTTCCGAAGCAGACTGTCGAGGCGAGGCTGAGCCTGGATGGCGCCGTCTTCGAGGCCTTGCTCTTTGCCTACACCGTCGGCTGCTTTGCGGCAAGTTTCTGGGTTTAGGGTTTAGGGGTTTAGGGTGTAGGGGTTTAGGGGTTTAGGGTTTATGGTTTTGTGGTGTAGGGGTTTAGGGTTCAGGGGTTCAGGGGTTTAGGGTTTAGGGTTTAGGGGTTTAGGGGTTTAGGGTTTAGGCTTCCTGATTGATGGGCCAAAACATGGAATCACCGTGGGACCATACGCGTCACGATGTTCATCATCATCATCCTCATCATCATCATCATCATCATCATCAGCATCATAATCCTCTTCATGTTTCCGCCATCACCACCGGCAAGGTCATCAAGATTATCATGACGGACACCGTTGGCATGTTCATGTCATCGCCATCATTATTATCACTGTTGACCGTCGTAAATGTCAGACCGATGGTCATCACTGTCAAAATAGTCACGAACATCTTAATGGCCACCTCATCAGTGCCACCACCATCGGTAGCACGACCTCCGGCGTCACCATCCTTATCGATGCCGTGTTATTTGTGCCGTGTTTGGCTATGGCAGTTGCTGTTGCTGCTGCTGATGTTGTGGCTGCAGCTGCGGTTGTGGTTGTGGTTGTTGTGGTCGTGGTTGCATTCGTGCACCGCTGGCATCGGAAAGAGGGGTCGACCTCTGTCAACTTCCATCGGAGGCTTATCTTGGGTCCCGTCGCTGAAAGCCAGCATTCACACGAAGGGCGTTGTTTCCAGGCATCCCCTTAGCACAAGTGCGATAGGATCCTTTCTTGGCGGCCTCCGGGATGCCACCGACGTTGTACAGGCCAGGGACCACCTCACGCAGCTCGTTAAGGCATTGAACTTCTGTGCATTGCTTTGGGTGGCACTTGGTGCTCACAATTTGGAACGCAACGATTTGCGAACTCGTTTGCAACTGGACGGTTGAGGTCCTCCCCGACACTGAAGGAGAAAAACGGCACATGGATTGTGGTACTTCGAAGCGAGCGGTTGCATGCCGTTTTTCGTCGTGAGGGGCTCTCCAAATCCCTTGCTGGTGGGTTACCTTATCGAACCTGACTTTACTGTGCATGGTGCTCGTAAAGGCAACGTGGCGATGTTAACTCCAACAAAGATGGCATCCAGGACTTTGTCGCAGCTGGGGATTCTTAAGACTTTTCATTTGCGGTGCGGTTTGGCATTTGGCGCTGTGGACGAAGTCTGGACAATGGTCTTGAAACAGTGACGTGCAAAGACCTGCGCAGTGCTGTTCCTCGCAGTGACGCTTTGGTCCTTGTGCGTGACCGAAGCCCTGCTTCCCCCAGCTGCATACATGAATGAGACGGTGCTGCTCCATAGGCTGTAGATGTGGGGGGCGGCGAGTTTCGGTAAACCGATTTCAACTCAGCTGCCGTGGTGAAGTAGTCCTTGACCTCAAGGAGGGAGCAGTCTGAGAGATGCACGACTCCGAGCTGGGCTTTCAACAATGCGCCTGGGTGAGGCGACACAACCCACTGCAGTTCTGCCTCGCGGAAGGTGCCGACCATGGCCCTGTCAAGGCTGAGCGCTGGCCGGAACTCAGGACTGCTTTCACTGACAAACTCGACGGATTGACCCGGTTCCTCGCAATTGCTTCGACTCTCTGGTGATGCAGCGCACATGCCATAAATCAAGCCGTGCATAGCAATTGGGTTCGTAGGTCGTAGGTGGCTGGACGAAACAGTCATGGACGGCGATCCTGGCTGCTCTTGCTCGGATGCCCTAACCCTCCAGCATCTGCAGCTGAAGCAAACGGGTTGTGACTAACAACGCTGCAGTGTGGCGCTGCATGTCTCCCGACATGTTAATTACAAGGGTGCGCGTCAAGCCCCACGGTTGCGGACATGTTGTTTCGTATGATCAACTTGGCTATGATGGGCTAGGTGACCTTGGACTGTTAACGGGTCTCCTTCGTTGGCGACCGGTTTTGCACAACAGCCATCAGCATGGCTTATGATGAGTGTTTTTGCCGGGTTGACTTAATGCAAAATTTCTGTGGGCACTGAAGACCACGCTGGCCCTCCAGTCGGGTTTGTGCTGCTACGACGCTTTAAAGCCGTTATACATTTTGGTTTTGAACGCTCTCGCTGCCTGGATGATGTTGTTTCTGGCTGCTGTTGGTGTTTTTGGTATTGCTGTCGTAGTTGTTTGTGACGGGTTGCTGTTGCTGTTTCCGTTGGCGGTAGCCGTTGCCATGGTGGTTGTTGTTATTGTTGCTGCTTCTGCGGCTGCTCTGCTGCCGCTGCTGCTGCTGTGCTTCTCGTGCGGTCATATGCAACAGCGTGCTCCGCAAAACTCCAAGGCATAGCGCTGTACTTATCACATTTCCGACGGACAGCCTGGCTGACCAGACCCATCCGCAACTTTCTGGCAAACTTTGCCGTGACCATTGCGTTGCTGACGGCTTCTTTGCTGGCGGCTGCTCCCAAAACAGATATCAGAATGCTGCCTATGGATGCTGACTTTGCCCCATCCCTCAAGTTGGATGGATTGGAGAAACGAAGCTGGATTGTAAATCCTGCAGGGATGGAGCGGCCGTTACCTGCTTGGGCAATTGCATATGCAATTTTTCCAGCCTTGGGATTTACAGTCTTGGGGTACCTGGACGAGAACTTGACTAGCCTCATCGTCAACAGGCCATCCAACAATCTGAAGAAACCTCCTGGCTACCACTTGGATCCTAGGTTGTTCAGTGGTATACTTGTTTCTTTTTGTTGCTTTCGTGTCCCACATATGTAAAAGCATAATTAGCCCGAACAAGACCCGGTGTCGTTGCGCAGCTCAGGATCTCTTCGTACGAGGCCTGTTTCTTATGCCCACCTGTGGCATTCTTGGCCTGCCCATGTCAGTGGCTTCGACTGTTCCCAGCATGACGCACCTGATCTCCTTGACCACCTACGAAGAGAAACAAGTTGAGGAGGGGATTCGCAAAGAGCCGGTGAAGGTGGTAGAGCAGCGTGCCACAAATTTCATCATCCACTTGTTGCTGGGCTTCTCGCTGTTCATGGCACCGGTGCTACGCCTTCTGCCCAAGTCGGTCCTGCACGGAGTGTTCTTCTACATGGGGATTAGTTCTCTGACCGGAAATGCTTTGTTCAATCGGATGTGCCTATGGATGATCTGGGACACGACGAAATACCCGAACTACCATTTTCTCGGAGACCACATGTCCGTACGACGCGTGCACCTTTATACTGCCATTCAGGCAGCGACGGTTTGGAAACGCATTCCAGAACTTCAAAACGTTCTGAATGCTAAACCCACATTTACAGGCCGAAACTCAGTAGAAGCCTAACATACCCTGCAGGTGGCGTGCCTTGCCACGCTCTACACCCTGAAGACGACCTCGGAGCGGGTTTTTGCAAAGAGGTTTTGGAGGTTTTTGTGAGAGCGCGCAGGATTCCGAATCCGCATGTACATCACTGTAACTTGAAACAGAACGGCAGCCTTACTGACTGATAGCCTCCACTTCATTTTCATTGGCTTGTCGAGCGTGCGATTTTGTTCCAGCCAACAGCGCTCAGCCATCAAGTAGTCGATCTGCTGATCTTCAGAGGAAGTCGCCGTGGTCTTCCCTCTTTTCATTGCGACGTTGGCCGTCATCCGCCAGGTGCGGCCAGTGTTTCGATGACAGACCACTTGTCCCTTTCATTGCAGACAACACTGTGTTTCGACACACAGACCCCTATACCCAGATTATATATTATGTTTTACATACTAAATTATGTTATATATATATATACTTATTAATGTATATCATATTCTAGTATATATTATATCCCACCGAAGACCGCTCCAGAAGGGTTGTGGACGGGGGAGTCCCTGGTCTTCCTTTCTAAAAATCGTCTTCGTTTTGCTGATGTTGCATTCCGGTCAAGGGCTGCACCATGTCTACATGGAAACGTGAAGAGCATGAAGCAAATCAAGGGTTTCAAGATGCCCCAAAAACTGCGCATCACTGCTCGGGTTCCGAGCGTCGACGCGACCACGGAGTTTGTATGAAGTCGCACTGCAGGCACACCTCGGCGTGTTGTTTTCTTGTTGTTGTCTTTCGGTATGCAAGACCTGGCCGACGGGCTTTCTGGGGATCCCAGGCAGGATGTATTGAGTAGAGTCTTCAAAGTGCAAGTGGAGAATGGGGCTAAACACTACATTTCTGCTAGTCTGCACAAAGAACAGCAGCAAACATACGAGAGTGGGTTAGGGGGAGAGGGGCGGCAGGATTATCACGAACGTAGGATCTGGAGACTTGTAAATTTGTTGCTCGGTCGAGTGATGAGGGAGGGGGTGAGTGAGTTCGTCTTCAATGAGGGGCACCGCCCTTGCAACTAAACCTGTTCCTTGAACATCTGCAGCACTACCCTCTCAATGCCCCGAGGGATTTCCTGGCGAGGTTGTTCATAGAATAAGCCGACCAATATGCATGTTCGTAGGTGGTGGCTGTGTTGGCAGACCGTTTCGCACCGAAGACTTGGAACAAAATTAAAAACAGCAACCGTAGATGCAAAAGGTGCCTCACCAGCACTACCTTGTGCTTCTCTCAAGCTCTCCTTCGTGTCTTTTTCTTGTCTTCGTGTCATGTGAGTGCAACAGTTGGTCGATGCTAGTCGTACTAATGCCGAAGTAGACTTTCCGAGTTTGGGCTGTCTACATACCCCCGTCTACCACAGGCTTTGCGCAGCATCTTTTCGGAAGTGGAGCTCCAGCTGTTGGACGACGAGCCTGTCAGGGAAGAGGAGGCCCCATTTGCCAGGGCACAATCCCTGAACCCGAATCGGAATCGGAAGCAGTTCATGAAACTGAGCATCTCGAAACATGCCGTGGCTTCTCTGTTCTGAGAGTGATTGCTTAGCGCTCCATGTTGATGCTGTCTGTCAGTGTCCAAGCCAGACACCGCTTCTGACAGCTCCCTGAGCTCCGTTGTCGACAGTCTGCACGCAGCTTCTGAAGCACCGAATATCATGTAGGAACCTGATTAAGTGACCCTGGCCTTATGATAGTAGGATTCATAAAAAGCCCAATCAAGACACAGGGGTTCCTGACCAGGACTAGCAGCACTGCCAGACGGAAAGGGGGGTTTAAAGAAGAACCACAGGGTGTCTTAATCAGGCTCGCATATGGGGGTTTCTGAAAATAGGGGACCCTAATATAGTACCCTAAATAATAGGATCCTTAATATAAGGACCCCAAAACCCCCATATTGCTCTGGCAGGAAGAGGATCCCGCGGCTGACAAGCCGGACTTGTTGGAGCTTGGCATGAGCCGAGAGGAGGAGGAAAACGCGCAGGTGCCTAGTTCAACTCACCTGCTGAGCATCCTGGGAATCATAAGCAAGTCTGAAACCTATACCACCTATGCTTCAATTTCCTGGAGCCCTACGACCCTGCGACCCATGAAGCTTTGAATAAAGCTTGCTTGCTGGAGAAGTTGGATCTTGGGTTCAGGGTTCAGGGATCTGCTGCAACAGGCTGAAGGCTATCATAGAGGTCACGGCGAAAGTGAAACAGAGTGTCTCGTCTTTTTGCTTTACTTGGCAATGGAGGCAGCTCAACTGGCTTTGGAAGAAGGGGCAGACGATTTCTTGCCGAGAAGTCTGAGCTGCGAATGACAGCCGCGTGCGAGGTCAACGTCGTCTTCAGTTTCCAAGATCTTGATCCCCAAGCTTGTGTAGCTCACTCCAAAATTCAGGGTGAGCTGCAAGCTGGAGGGAGCCATTTGAAAGCATTTTTTGAAGTCTCATCGGAGAAGTCTGTTTTACGGCCGCGTCGGCATTCTGAGTTCTTTTCCCCACGCTCTGCTCGCTGCTGGGTGGATGGCGAAGAACGGGACAAACCTCAATGTTATGATTTCGTGCAGCTACAAGGGCTTTCCTCCGCCTTAGACACGGAGGATATGCTTTGAGCACCAGTAGGAGTGCTTTCGATTGGCAGTGGCTCTCTGGAGGAGAGCTGTCTCGACAGACCTGCCCACAGTTTAGTTTTCACCGCACAGATCGATTTAGTGGGTTCACTCAACACGAGCCCTATGTGCTCGGCTTCACGCCCAAGCCTTTGCTTCACATAACATCAGCTTTTCGGGGAGATCGTCTGTCAGACTGGGTCGTACTTGGATACCTCTGTTGATTGAACCGTCTGCCATTTTTCCAGTCACAGCAACAGCAATGGGTCCCTTTTTCCGCATTGCAAGAACACAGGGCCTAGTTATAATAATATTCTAATACTATAATGTAATAGTATTATCATAATACTATAATATAGTACTATTATAATAATATTACTATTATTGATATTAGCCGTTAGCAGGCCCTACCCTACTTCTTCGCTCTGTTCAGGGGCCTCCCATGTTGCGCGGACACCTGTCTCAGACGAGTAGTGGCACAGCGGAGCTGTTGTCATGGTCCAAACTTTGCAAACTCTTGTCTTCGCAGAAAAAGAGCATGGGCAAGGGGGTTGTTGAATTAGACTGATGAACAATTAAGTAGTAGTTTCTGTATTAAGTTTTGATCGAAACCCCGAAATGCAGCAATTCTCGCCCTCACCCAAGGGCCCACATTCGCAAGGAGGCAACTGCAGCATATTCCAGCGCAGGCAGCGATTCGAGTTTCATATTCTTTCAACATGCAGAAAGGTAGCAGATGATGTCGGTGACTCTATATTTCGTCTTCGGGTCGAGCTGCTCAGGCTCAAAAGCAGACGCGTCGAAAAGCTGCCTCTTGTCGTACGCAGGTTGAGCAGGCGCACTCGGATATTGGTAGGTAGTGGCAGCTGGGTACCCAACTCGCGCCATGGAAGCATCAAAGAAGGCTTCGATGGCTTCGGACGAGCAGCCAGACATTGCCGCGAGGGCGGAGCCTTAGCAAGCAAGCCTCGCCCCGAAGCTCTTCGGGCTTCTGAGACTTCGGACAAGGTTTCCCTGCGTGTTCCACCTCCACTAGCTGAGCTTCTCGAGACGTTCAGGGAATCAGGGGCGACTGCATCGCTCGCTTAAGAGACTGTTCTTCAGTTGCTGCAGGGGCTTAATCTGTGGAGCTGAACTGGAGTTTTTCAGACACAGAAGCATGACACCTCACCGCTCAGGACAGTGCCCACTTGCATGCTCTGATCCATGGCCAGGACCGGACAGTGGAACTGCAGGGTCGCAAGTGCGCTGTGTTGATGCCGAAGATAGGCAGAAGTAAATGAGAATCGGAGTGAAGTCCAGTGAGTCTAGTGGCCTGCCATGTGAAGGACACGCGGAACTTGGCACAGTCGCTGGAGCAAGTCTCGCATCACACCGGAGCGCTGAAGCGCATGATCTCGAAGCTCAGCAGAGAACAGCCGGATGTTGCAGCCATGCGCACAGCTTCGCTGGTTTGACACTCGGGGGGTTCAAGCGCAGAGCCTAGATCCGAGATGAGGATCCAGTAAACTTCCTGGATTCGGTCCTGCATAGAGTTCCGAAGAGGAGCGTTGCTAGCTTCGGCCACCTGCCAAATCATGCCAAGGCCGCTCTCTCTCATGGAGCCCGTCGGAGCTGGTCAGGAGCCTGCTGGTCCTACTTCGCTGGTCAGTGTTGTTTGCGTGCCTGTGTCGTGGCGCTGTGGGAACGTGCCCGTAACTCCAGGAGCACCATGACATCGAACAAAAGAACCAGTCAAAGGCCAGCGCGGAGCAGAGACAGTGAGACAGTGTCGGCGATGGTGATGCTTTGGCTGGTGCTGGTGGCGCGAATGACAGCGACGATGATGATGATGGTGAGGAGGAGGAGGAGGATAGTGATGCTGATGCTGCAGGTGATGCTGTCGACGATGACAGTGATGCTAAAGGTCATAAAGATGAGGATCAGAATGGCGATCCTGATGACGACGAGCCGGAGCAGGACACCGATCAAGATAGTCATGACTCATGACAATGGTGATCACCGCAGTATAGTCACGACGTTAGGAACAACAAACGATCATCAGGAGGCGAGGAGTACATTGAGCATGTTGCTACTTCTACCACCGACCATGCTGTTGTCAGAAAATCCTTTGCTTCTTTTGCCCAGTCATAGCGGTAGCGCTGCATTGGCTGGGCAAATTGCCTAGCGATCTTCGTGAAGCAGTCCGGCTTGACAGCGACAGTCGCATGCCTTCAGCCCAAGGCAAAATACCGCAGACTCATTACCGTAAGATGATTCGACACAACATTTCGCCAGAGTGCCAGGTAGGCTCCTTTGCTGGCGCCTTGGCCTCTGCGCTCATCAACCACATGCTTATGCCGCCTAGCCGCAAGCACAGCAGTGCCCGCCACAGGGCCTTAAATTGATCAGTTGCGCGTACTTTTCAGACCCACGACGGTTCTGTTCTCATCATCCATGGATTGGCCTCGAAGCCGCTAAGGTTCGGCATGTGCTGCTCCTATGGGATGATTATCTTCAGTGAGCAACGGAACGCAGCTCATCGAGCTCTCGGCGTGAAAATGTGCTTGGCGTCGTGGCCTCAGTTGCTTGTGACTTGTAGATTCCAAGCTGGTAGCCGGCATGGTGTTCTCCATCCTCTCTTTAAGCTTTAAGATTTGCAGTTGGCAGTTTCAGCTTTGGGCTGTGACTGTGGGTCCTACGCCATCTCAGGGCTTCCTTCATCGGCGGTGGGTTGATGTCTGTCTTTTCCGGCATTCCGGTGGCCATCGGCGGGACAGATCTCAACCCTGCGGTGTTCTACGGCGACTGGGTGATCGCCATCTCCGATGCGCTTGCGGCGAGTTTGGAAGAAGCCTCCGGATCCCTCTTTAGCTCGGTTGCTGGCGGGGGGGCATCTTCACGAGAGAGCCCGATGCTGCTCGCACCCCTGTTTCTACAAACTATAAGTCTTCGAATCCCCTGAGAATCTGCAGAACCATAATCAACCCTCCGAAACCCCCCTATCGCCCCCCATCGCTCTACAATCTGCCCTAAACTCCACACTCTGCCAGGATCTCACTCGTCAGCTGGGCCTCGAAGACTCTGTCCGCGACCTACAGTACCTACAGAGCTTTGGATGGTTACGACCTCGAAATGAGCATTTCGGAAAATAGGGGACCTTAATATAGTACCCTAAATAGTAGGATCCTTATTATTAGGACCCCAAACTAAGGTACCCTTTGTTTTAGGAAACTCCCAAATGAGTAGAGGAGGAAAGGACAGAAGCCAGAGGGCGCCAGGTCCAGTCGCAACTTGCGGGCTGACCTGACCGGTCTTGTTCCTGATCCCTTATCCTGACAGGCGAGCTACACGGATACGTCTGGCAGATTGCTGAAGAAGGAAGACCCCACCAAGTATTTCTGCAAGGGCAGCTTCATCCTGCACTGGAGTTGCTTCAGGGTATATCTCTGTGAAAAAGGGTTGGAGTTGCGGCAGTCATGGCTGGGTCGCCGTGCCTAACGAAGCTCAACCCAGGTGACCATCTTCTCGCTTATCCTCAGGACGAGCACGAGCCAGCAGGGGGTTCGCGCATGTACCATACCGATGCGCTGTGCGATGTCTATGTGATATTTTGTGATGTAAGGTCGTGCAGTTTGCTTGTTGCAAGGAGTGCGAGTCGTACCATGCACAGCTCCGGGCGACAATCATCTTCTCAGTGGCCTTCTCGACCCTGTTGCTGGGTAGCTTGTCGATGGCTGGGGCAGTCTCGCGGTGACAGGAGTGTTGTGTTGGAGGCACAGTTTGTCATTACGGTCAGGTCGGACATGCCGCAGGAAGTTTTAAGTGGAGGTGAAAGGCACTAGATGTGGACAAGCCGACTTCTCAAGAATCCATTGCCCTGACACTTTCAGCCATCGTCTGGACCGTCCTCGGCAAGCTGAAGCTGACCCGATACGTCAGCTACATGCCGTACAGCATTTCCGAGGAGGGGTGCCTTCAAGACTTTAAGAGGTTCGAGGTCGCTGAAATGTCGGAAGCGTATTGAATTCAACCGATCGCCGAAACTGTGACACGCCAAGCAGTCAGATGCAAACGAAATGCGCAAGCTGAGTAGAGATGGTCTTGCTCTGCTTGTGCTGCAGGCCTTCCTGGCCTGTGTCGGCTACAAGGTGTTCTACTACGCGCTCAAGTTCTGTGATTTCGACCCCAGGCAGTTCTTCACTGCCGCCTTCATCGGAATCGCCCTCTACTTCTGCAAGGTGCTTCCTAGCAGTGCAGAATATGTGCAAGACTAGAGTGGGCTTGCTTCGTGCAGCGGGGGCTGTCGTCCTGGCAGACTTGTTCTTTGGCACTCGCTGGAGTGGCAAGAAGACAGCCTTTCCTAAGCACTCCCCGCCTACCAGAAGAGATCTCCACTCTGCAGGCGCTTCACATCGGGAATCCCACCATCATGATGCCTCTGGGCCTGCTGCTGCCTTTGGCCATCTTCTGGGGGCTCCTCGAAGGCATATAATATAGGAGTCATAGAGAAGTTATCCACGTTTTGCCGGAGCCCCTTTTCAAGCCTGGGTGCCTACAGCCGTTGAGCCGCGCATGTCTAAGCGTCGCTGTTGCACAGCCCAGGATTGTGGCCGGGACAAACCAGACCCCTGAAACAGTGCGCGACGCAGGTGGGTGATGGGACCCGTGGGAGCCGCACGTGCTTGCAGATATTTGCGGGGAAGGGCCTGACTGCATCTACAGTTTGCTCTCGTGCTACACACCAGTGTCAGGGTGGCTGTTTCCGGAAGTGCAGAACGAGCCCTTCTACCTTGTATGGGTAGACAGCCTTGGGCCACTGCCTTAGCTCACATGCCAGGACGTCAGCCTGCGCTCCCTGCTGTTTGTGCCCCCCAGCTCTAAAGCTCGGACCTTATCTTGCCATCTGATCTCAGGTCCCTCTCGAACATCAACTTCAGCGCGTGGGTGACAACATTGCCCAATCTGGCTGTGTTCATGGTCGTTTCGACCATGGACTCTCGGACTCTGTTTACTCCAGCAAGCTGCTCCTCACGCGATTTTTGTCGTGCTTTTCCGGGAGTGATTGCAAGCACCTAGTCATTTGCGATCTTCGCCAGGATCAACACTTCCGTAAGCTTCCCTCTGTTTTCTGCGCGGATTGCCCAGGGCATGTACGATCATCTGAGGACTGTGTCCTCAAGCTCCACGCCACTGAAAGCAAGCTCCCTCTGAATCTTGGCGATAGGCGCAAAGCCAACTACCCAGCTGTTGAGTAGGCGTTCAGATGTAGTCACCGCAGATTTGCTCGAGTACTGTCGCTGCGCTCTGAGATGTTTCGCACAGGGGGCGCCCCAAGTAGTCACATGCAAATGTCATGCGTGTCTGTATAGCTGAATTAAGCACTTGTACGAGCCGAGATGTAGAATGTACAATGTACAAGTACGTACCTCGATGAGCAATGCTATGCTTGCCTTGGCAGAAGACCACCGAGATCCTTGCCCAGGAAGGTGTCCACTGATAGCGAAGCATTCATCTTCGGCTGCTTCAACTACCTTCTCGCGTGCTGCGGTGCGGCGACCGGCTACATGCAGCTGAAGTTCAATGTCATCAGTCGCTTGTCTCTTTAGAGGCGTTCTCAGTCTTGGCTGCTTCCCAAGTAAAATGGGTCGCTCAATGCCTACATCCGGTTGCGGTCTGGGAACTACACGCCTCCTTCCTTCGCCGACCCGATGCTACCGCATCAACTTGGACGCCGGACGAGTCAGGCCAGCACCTTTCGCAAAGGCAGCCGTGGGTAATGATAAGGTTTCAGGGCGCGCAACGATGGTGATGCTTTGCAAAGCCAAGGCTATGGAGTTATGCGAAATGCACATGACCGCAGAGCTGGAATGATCTATGCCATGCGGCGGCCCCAGCAGGATGCTGCAGTGTAGATCATTGCGACATCTTGCTTTGAAGCCGTTTGCTACACATTCTTTGCCTTCTTCATGCAATGTCGTCATTCAGAACGCAGTGGCATGGCTACATCATGCGAGTCGTTCGCTTTTATGATTCCGCTGGCTTTGCCGGCGATTGCGTGCGAGGTTTTGCGGTGCAGCCTACTTCAGCACTGTGGAGCATTTCAACTACCTTCCGAAGCTGTCACTCGCCTGCTTTCGCAGTGTGGGTGGGCAGTTTCCCATGAACTAGTACATGAGCAACCGGTGATAATTCAGTAATGCAGGTTAGGATTCCCCGAAGCTTGAAGCACCGAGTTAACATGTCCAAAAATGACAGCAGGCATGCATGCTGTCTTCAAGAATGCGAGTCAGAGATCCTATGTGTCCGTAAATTCTGTTATAATATATGTCATATATGTATACATCTATATATATATATATATAAATACACGCATGTATTCTCCGCGCTGCTGCTGCTGGTCGCACCAAACCCTTCCAATAGCAGCAGCGCAGAGCCAAAGCACCCAGCCCCTCTTCACTACTAAGAGTGCTTGAGCAATTGATCGACTCCGGTAATTGCGCCGCGACGCCAAAGCCAGCAGTCCTGCAGGGGCAGCCGCGAAGACTCCGCACAGGACAGTACGAATTGCAGCAAGGAGTGACGGGCAGCACGCAGGTTAGAACAAAGACAATGCTGCAGTACCTACAACGCGCCACACTACCGATATAGAGGAGTCTACCTGCAACAGTTGTGGCGGGAAGGGAAATGGCCACGGATCCTGTCCTAATAAGTCGCAGCAGCAGCTTAATAGTAGTCGTCATGGTCGTCGTTGTAAGCACGCCAGTACTCGTCGTAGGACCAAGCGTTTGTGCCTTGGAATAGGGCACGAATATGGCTCAGAACGGCGACCCCTGTTCAAAGACAGACCTCTCGAACCCGAGATGATTCGGATCAGCACAATACATGTTCGCAGATGTATCTCGAAAAACGCACTTGCCATTGTCATTGTTATTGCTGTTCGGTACAAGACAAGAACAAGCTGGGTCTCGGAGTGCATCAACATTCTTGATCTGCTAAGGTTCTTAAGTGCGCTTCTGTTCTTCGCTGGTGCTGGCTTTGTCACTGACAACATGTGGGGATCCAGAAAGTTCCTGCATTTCAGTGAGTGGATGGAGATCGCCACCTGGCATCGACAACAGCCAGCGGATGTTAGTCGATTCTGCGACAGAGCTGACTACTGAAGGTGCGCTTAGTAGTCGCATAGTCATTGTGTGAGTAGCATCAGAAGTCGTAGGAACAGGAGCGGCATTCGCAGTCATCGTCACCAACGTGGTAGCAGCGGCAACAGAAGAAGCAGCAGACACGGTAGCTGGTAGATTCGGCACTACCAGCACCGACCACCACACTTCTCGGTATCAGGATTAGTGACATCAACCGGTTCAAGGTGGTTCAAGGAGGCACGTCCATACCAGTGTCGACGAGACGAGGCATGTCCACATCCAAGCTACCCGAAACTGTCAGGTTGTGATTCTCATCGTGTTCATTGCGGCAGGCCAGCTGATTTGGGCCGTCGTTGCGGGACTGAGACCTGACGGCAGTAGACGCAAGACAATTTCACATCAATGTCACGCGGAGGATGCTGAAATGTACCGCACAGCACGCTTCTAGCTTCAAGCTTCCGTGAATCATCCGGTACAAAGTCGATCATCGCCTCGATATAAAGTGTTTTTGCATACCGATACCACTTCACTCGGTATGCTTGACAAAAAGCCTTTCTGCAGTAATCGTCTCAAGTACTTTGTTCTCATTCCGACCCCTCTCCAATGCTTCCAACCGGGTTGTTGCCGTTTGAAGAAGATACCCAGCTCACCCAGTCAATGCTGCAAGCCCCATCTCAGGGTTCTTTCTGGACTTGCCTTCATCGGCAAGCTGCTGGGCGTCAAAGATGTCACTGAGCCCTTCCCCCGATAGACCAGACGATGCACACTTTGAACTCAACATGGCGGAGCCTTCGGGCCACCAAGCGGCTCTTGACATGAGCTCTGCGTGTTTCGGTCCTCTTGCGAGTGCCCGGGAATCAACCAGGCCTCTGATTTCAAGATTCGCTGCCGCAAAGTCCAAAGCTGGACGACTTTCAGGATTCAATGTCGAGCCACAGGCCACAGGATCTGAGGCTACTAGGTTCAGAAACGCAGCAGGCACACACATACACACACATGCCCGAGGTACGCACGGGTGCCCTCCTTAGATGGCCGTCCCAAGCGCGGAGACCAGGCGAGTCAAGATCAGTTCGTCAACTTTCGGGAACTGTCTAGGCCATGAGTTTCAGAAATCTTGAATCGAAAAACTCCGGGCTCGGGACCCGGCCAGAGCTTTCCCCCAAGAGCATCTCGAAATGGTTGCAGAGAAGTGTTTTAGTTAGCGATCTTGTTCTGTGCCCTTCGGCACCGCTCTTCAGCTTTGCTCTGCTTCATTTTGCTTCAGGGGAGGCAGTAGCACAGCGTGGTGGCCGTTTCGAGTGCATCGTTCTTCTGCGTCCATTAGATCCGACGTTGCGTAGCATTCCACAGTTTCGGCATACCCGAAACGCTCGCAGGTGATAACACGCGAGCGGCCCGTCGGTGAGGCGGGTGATGGGGATGTTAGGACAGGCTAGTGGTACAGTAGAAGGACTTGCCACGAGAAGCGTAGGGCTTAGGACAAGTCAAGGACGCGCCAGATCGCATTTTCATACGATATGTCAGTCAAAAAGCTGCAAAATACTAACGAGTAAAGTTGCCAGGTTTCTTCTCCGAATGCCCCTAGCCCTAGCCCGAATTCACCCTACTTGACCACCTACTTGGCCAAGGTCGGTCACCAGAGTTTCATGCACATCGCTTCTGCTTGGATCCTGCGCTCCGCTTGCACTGCGATTGGAAGTCCTGGTGCTTTAGGGACTTGAGTCGCCTTGTACAGCGAAGTCATCTTGGTAAGAAAGCGTGTCCACGCAGTTCATGCTAGCAGAAGGCAGGACCAGGCAGGTGTTGCACGCTCGCGTTCCGACATGCACAAAGGCTTTCCCGTATAGTTGAAATTCTGAGCAGGCTATCTTCTGAGGTTCTGAGACAGGAGTTTGGGAATCCGCAAGAGTTCGGGTTGGTATTAGCCAGCCAACCTAGCCTGGCCTACCTCAGACCTGGGACCAGCACTTTGTGCAACTCTCTGCTGTCAAGGATCGTGAACCTCAAGGGCTACGTCTTCTTCAGTTCTTGTGTGGCCGTCATGCGGTCCGTGGAGGAGTATTTCCAGCAGGAGGACAAGAATCAGGTGCGATGTATCCACAGTCTTTCGGGTAGATATTGTCAGCTACATGTATCCCTAATGCCTTCCAGAGCATGTTCGCAGCTTTTTCTTTACCTTGCTCTTTGAGTTGCCTTCTCGCCCAAGCCATTGAGAGTGAAATTCTGACGGCTCTTCAGTCGGAGTTCCAGATGCCTGATTCAGGTTGCAAGAGCCGCCATGCGCGATAGGAAGTCCGAGTTTTCGGAAGCTTCTTCCAAAAGCGTCTGAGGTGCCTCCGTACAGAAGGCTCAAGTTCCTGCTCTTCGATGGCTCGGCACTCGATGGAGACCAGGTCGCAACAATCCAAGCTGCTTGCGTCATGACGCGGGCTCCTTCTGACCAGCTTCCTCGGGCTTCTCTCCCCAGATAAGACACGGGAATGTCAGTAGTCATCATCATCTCTCTGAGAGGCTTAAGTTTAGCAGATCCGTGCTTGCCCGCACCCCCAATGGGTGTGTATGTGTGTCCAGCGCTGCCAGAGATTCTTATTAGCATGTCCTGCTCCAGGGTCACTCAAGGAAATGAACAGAACTAAAGGGAAAATGGGAGAAGCGTGCGAGCGTGGCTTCTGCATGCTTTCGGTACGGTATATGCGCACATGCACATACACAAATGCATACATGTATTCACACGCGTACGCATGACCTGCACGCACACACAGACACCGCACATGTGGCAGCCATACATATCTGCATATGTGCCTGTACATGCATATCCTCAGAGGCACACTTGCACACAAGTAAACACCCCCACAATCGGAAGTAGTAATGCATGCATGCATGCACATTATGTACGTGCGTATGTGTGTCTGCAGGTATGTATGTATAAATGCATGCATGTAGTGAAGCATGTTTGGAGCCCCAGCAGTCGAACATAGTTCTATAGCACAGGAATGGATGCCTCTGGAGCGATGAGCATGGCCAAGTTGACACGCAAGGCAGCTTGAAGTCGTGAGATTCCCCTAGGCCACGTCGCTAAAGTCGCAGAACTTGGGCAGTCCAGACTGGCCCAAACCTTCATGCTGCGGGGATGTTGATGTTGACGCAATATAAGAATCTCAATGCATGCAATGTTGCGCAAGTGTTGTTGCTTGCTTCAGACGGTGGACCTTGTGGCGATGCTGGGAGCACCCATCTTCCGAAGCTCTCTGTTTCAGGCAAAACAGCGCGGAATCCGCGTGATCTGGTGCAACATCAAGGATGACTTGGCCGAGGCTTTCCCTGCTGAAATCCTTCCTAAGTTGTCTGGGCGATTGGGTGTAAAAGCAACTTCGACCTGCCACTATCAGCAACTATCCTCCCCACCCATTTCAACTGCCACTGATTAACCACCAACGACCTCCTCTACATTGCTACTGCGACACTGGTACTGCTGATGTGGACGGGTGCTAAAGCCCAGAGCCGACTGTGAACGGTGCCTGAGTACATGTAAAGTGTCGAGCGTGTCAAACAGATCTTGCAATTCCAAAGACATCGAGACGAAGCCCTTCCGCCACGCAAGTGCTTCTCGTTTCACTCTAGCCAGACCCCTCCTACAAGTGTGCTCGAGGAGCTGCGAGTGCGAAGCATCCTGGCGTCCACGGAGGATCGCTTCGAAGACTTGGACAATGTCACAGCCTCACCTGGGGATGAAGACATGCCACTGAAAGCCTGCGATCATTAATCGAACACATGGCACGGAGCTAGAAGTTCACAGATCGCAAGCCTGGCTTAATGAGAAGTCCGTTGGCTGCATGGTTGAGACGCCAGCAAGGCTGCAGATGCCGTAGCAGCCCCAACATCCTTGACTCTCTGACAGTCTCAGGCGATGACCCACCTGGAGAAGCGCATTCTGAAGTACAAGATGAACCAGCAGGACGAGTGGTTGAACCTCCACCCCGTCTCTCGGATGATAGAAGTAGAATTCTTCATTCTATTCCTCACTTCTTTTGAGGTCTTCCGAAACCGGATTTTCTCTCCTCAACCGAGGCCTTCCGGCGAGACAGGGCGCTGATGCTGCAGCGCGTGAACTTCGAGCCCTTCAGGAGCCTTGGAGTTCATCCCCACGCGGGAAGGATGGGAGGAAGTCTAGAAGCGACTAGCTTGTCAGCTGCATTGCCAGCAGAAGATAACAGAACACAGATACTGCACTTTGCCGTAACTGGCAGTGGACAGGGAAGTCTTCTTGTCCGACGGAGCTCGGTTGGGCTGCCCTTGGCGCTACTGCAGCCGTTTGCCCATCAAAGGTGCGTGGGCTGCTTGTTGCGGGGTGCTCATATTGTGATGACTACTACGAGAGTGTATCCCATACCAGCACTCTTGTGTTCGTCCGCCCTGTACCTCAAACTCCCTTCTTTTTGCTGGTGTTCGGCTGGATTCTCACACTAGCTCCGCACAGCTCCGCTTGCACCACTACTTGCAATTCCTGACTGACTGCATCAGGGGCAGTTGCTTCCATTCGAGCTCCCGGCCAGGTTTCAAGACCATGTTGTGCGTGCCCGGCGACCAGCACAGACCGCTCTACCTAATTCACTCTGGCGCCGTCGCCATCCTTGACGAAGTTCCGGATCAAGATGCGATCATGGACAGATGTGCAAAAAACAACATTCCACAGGCATTGTTGACTCTTTGGTGTGGAGTTTCAGTCGGATTCTGGGCATGTCATGTGTCCATAGAACTGGCGTTTGGAGACTGCCCTCATAGTGTCGGTTTTTTCACATGCGCCTCGAATCCATGAGGGAGAATAGTGGCGAATACCTGGACGACTTCGAAACTTCGCACGGGTTGCGGACCTGAACTGCGTATCTAAAACCTTGCGGAACAAATCCTTCATTATGGGGATGTAACATTAAACAATGTATGTTTTGGTGCGTTTCGCTGTTTCTAGTAGGCCTACCTTTCTTAGTCCACCCGGCGCAGCACTGGAGTGGGTTCCGACTTGGGAAACGGAATCTGTTGAATGTACGAGGGCAATGTGAAAGACTAGTGCAATATTTATGGCGATGATGCTAGTGGTGGTTCTTCACGATAATCCGAATTTGATAACATCACTGTGCCCATGATCATGACCGTGAACATCATCAGGCTCATGTCACGACGGTCTGCTCAGTTGCTGGCTCTATTTTGTTGGGGAAGGCAATTAGAAGTAGCACCGTTGCTTCCGCGGATGCCCTGCAGTCCCACACAGAGCTGCGCTTGCACCGTCCTATAGCGTTCTTCGGACTAGCCTGTACCTCGAGCCCATGGCCACAGTTCCCGCAAAGCCGATGCAGCCTTCCCTGGCTGTTTGTCAGCGCACCACCGAAGAAGCTCATGCTGCCAACCTGTCATCCCTGCTCTTGTTTGCTAACCCAAGACGCAACGGCACCCAGCGGGAGAAAAGAGAAAAGCAAGATTTCCGGCGCAGGACGCGCACGCTAGCTGGAAGAAGCCGCGGGTCATCCTCAGGCCAGATGTACACTGTGCATGTACAGGTTCCTGCCGCCATCAGGAACGGTAGCCGCAGTTTATCCCGAGCTAAACTTCCGCAAAAACTGCCGAATTCCCAGGCAGGGGTGGTTCGTGAACGAAAAGACGATATTCGGCCAGCCTTCTTCCAGCTTCGCCCTTGCCGTGGAAGATGGAGAGGTCGACCCTCTTGTGGTTGACTCTGGATGCATGTGCCCTTTGAGACAAGATTGAAGCTCCAGCAGCGGCGCAGTCCTGGCCAGGTGTTACCCGGTAATGAGGTTATGCACGGCCTGGTTCGAACATACATGGTCGTAATCGGAGAGCGGCAAAGCACGAGAGCAAGCAACCACAACAAATGTCCGGGAACTGTGCAGGACAATTGAAATTCCCGAGAAATCTTCGCGAACTCGTGTCAAAGTCTGGCTCGGGTCATCTAGCAGCGGCAAGATTCTGCATGTCTCTGTGCACGGGTGAGTGCATGGTGAGACTGCTCATCTCTTGAGACCTTGCCAGGTCTTGTTTTGGACAGAAGAGCAATGGTGGAAGATGACCAACGAGCATCCCCTGATGATGATGGAGATCTCGAAGGCCTTCAAATCGAGAGCAGCTCTAGGGAGTGGGGTTTGGGAGGTGCAAGAGCAGCCCCAACCAAGCATTCAGACTTTTCCAGGGCAGAACACCCCGCAGAGGCCGTGATGCGGCAGCAAGGCGAGCACCACTTCCATCGACAACCTGATCCGTGGCAGCAAAGCTTCCTGAGTGAGCCTGCTAAGCCAAAAGCCGTTTGTGTCCAGTTCTTTGGCCTCGCGACAACTTGTGCCAGGATTTCACTCTTCAGCTATCCAAGCTGAGGAGAAGAATCGACGGCCGTCGGAGTTAAGCATGGAAGACATCGATACGGACGTGCTCATGAGACGCGAGGCTGGGGTCCCAGAGGCACCGCCGTGCCCATGAGGCGACTCTTGCCCCAGTGCGGGCCGGTTTGTGGAAAGGCCGCTGCCACCTAGGACGTGAGGCCTCTTCTCACCATACCCTTTAAAGTTTGCATAGCAGAGCGCAAACCAGGATCATGACTCAAGTCAACCTGTCCAGTATGATCTGTTCCTGCAGAGATTGCCCTGTAAGAGCCCTTGTGCGGATTCAAGGCTCCCTCGTCCCAATGACAGCTGCACAGCCCAGGTGTCCCCATCAGATGTGCAGCCCACAGAAGTAGAAGACTCGGAAGAGGAGGCACTTGGAAGTATTTGCAGTAGGAGAGGGAGCTTCTAAAACATGTTCAAGTGCAGAGAGAGCCACCATGATTTAGGAATGCCGTGGCGGTTTTGGTGGCTTTACTCATTCGGAATGCCTGTTGTACCGCTCTGGCCAGCCCATGAAGATATTTCAACTGAAGCCAACCAAGCCAAGCATGCACTGCATTCCGCACTCGAGTCCCTGTGGCTTACAAGCACTGATTCTGGTGCCCACTTGCCCGCGTGTCTTGGCAGGAGCTGATGATTCCGTCAGAAAATCCGGAGGACCTGCCGCCGACAACGTACACCTCCAATGCCTCCCTTGGCTCTTACCAATACAACGGTGTCACCCGCTTCAACAAGTCCGTGCTGTGCAGCCCCATTGACCTGGGAGTGGCTCGGCCATGATGGAACAGGTTTTCTGCTTCTTTCCGTGATTTTCTGCATTCTAAGTTCCATCAACCACTCGGCCTATCCCGGCCCTTCAGGAAGCCTTCGAGCGGGATGAGTTGAAAAGGCTGCCACAGTTGCAGACGAGGACCGGGAAGCTTGAACATACAGCTTTACGAATGCCAGAGACCTTCAATCAGATGGCTAAGCCACCGCCGCTAGGATCATGGAGCTGCACTTTGCTCGCGCCCTGGGTGAACAAGGTTTTTTCAGGCTCGCCCGGCACCCGAGGGTTTGCTGAGCGCCAATGCTCCGGGGATTGAGGCCGTGGGTATAAATCATCATGAGATAGAAGAAGCTGCATTGTCAGGTTGATCGCGCAATCATGGAAGCGGACACCACTGTTGAGACAGATTTCCCCAACCCCCAACCCCAGCCATGCCCCAAACTGACATAAACTGATTCCTCGATTGCAGTCGCCATACGGATGGAGTGCATCACGGAAGCAACGCATCGACCCGTAGACTGCACAGCTAAAGCTGGCAAAGTTGAAGATCTGCAACAAAAAACGTGCTGAGCTGCACTTCACAGAAAACACAAGACCCACAAGAGGCTCTAGGAAGGTAGGATGCCAGGAGCGCCGGTGATGCTGACTACCTCCCTGAGCTGCCAAAGACCTTCGGCCTTATTCTGCAGAGTGTCGAATACGAAAGTGCAGAAGCCTCGCATGATCGAATTACGGTTGCCGTTTCGTACCAAGAAACCATGACTTTTTCAGGCTAGGAGCAGCAGCCGCGTAAATAAAGCTGGGAATAGGATCCACAACCCGCCAGGGGTAACAGCATGGACTGTGACAGTGAGAATACGTACAGTAACTACAGCAGCAGCAGCAGCAGCAGCAGCAGCAGCAACAGCAGCATTAGCAATGCCGGCAGTGGTAATGGGAGCTGCCGTCGTCGAAGCAGACGTCGCCATTGTTGTCATGATCGAAGTAGTTGCAGGAAGCCTTGCCGACCAGGCAGAAGTACAAGTAGCAGCAGCAGCAGCAGCGGCAGTAGTCGTCGTCGTCGAAGCTGCGGTAGTTGCAGTAGTAGCAACGGTAGCAGTAGTAATCGTTGTCGTGGTCGTGATCGCCGCCGTAGTCGTAGTAGTACAGTAGTAGTAGTAGTAGTAGTAGTAGTAGCAGCAGCAGCAGCAGCAATAGGTTTTTAGTAATGGTAGTAGTCGTCGTCGTCTTGGCACGGCTTGGCTTTTCAAGTGCCCGAGTCCGGACCT